ATTTTTTGCAAACAACCTGTCAAAGGAAATTTGCACATTTTTAGTTTTTCTTGATTAAAAATCAGGTTATTTAAAATTTTGCAAAAATTTTTGCATATTTGAAATGGCATGGTCAAGGGCTTTTCAAAAATGTATAATTTGTCATTTTTTGGACAAATTTTTTTTTGCAAACATTTTTACTATAAAACTGGATTTTGCGATAAAAAATTCAATTTTCGCAAATTTGCAAATTTTTTTGCAGATTCTAAAAGTAGAGCACAAGAGCTTTCTAATGATGTATCATTTGTCATATTTGGACATAAAACATGGGATTTAGAGGGGGGGGTCAAATTGACCCCCCCCCAGCGTATCCTGGTTTTCAAGTACCCCAGCGGAGATAGGGTTAAACTAAGTCACAATTTGACTTTGGCAGAAGTTGTATGCAAAAAACTAACCAAAACATGTCAAAAAAAATTCTAAATTAAAAAAAAACCATAACACCTACTCCCAGCCCAATTCAGCCCAATCGGTCCAGCCGTTTGGCCTGCTATACGCAACATATATATATACGAATGTTTTGTTTTATTATATAGATAATACAGTTTTGAAATCTTTGAGGTTTTAGAATTTTTTTGTTAACTATCCTATAGGATTAACGACTCTTCATGTTCCTTAAAAATTGAATTTACAACTTCTAAGATTTAGGTAGAGTTAAATACCCAGACAAGTAAACAAAAACTCAATCAATTTAGGGCACGGGAGTATGCGGACAGTGACGAACTTTTTCTTAGCTAACCTGGCCGTGGCCGACCTCACCATGTGTGTCTTCAACTGTGCTTTCAATCTCGACTACATGCTCCACAAGTAAGTCACCATCCTGTTTTTGTGTTCAAAGTCCTGAAATTTTATGAATAAATTAATTGATGTGCCCGGCAGACGGTGTTGCCCATAAAATAAAAAAATTCGAATTAAAAAAATCAAATTTGAAAAAAAGGTTTTTGAAAAAAAAGGTTTTTGAAAAAAAAAGATTTTGAAAAAAATTTGATTTTTTAGAATTCTACAAATTTCAGCCAATTTGGTCCAACCGTTTAGCCAGCTACAACTAACATATATGTATATGAGCGAAGAGCTTTATTGTATAGATTAGGCTAAACCCAAAGGTATTTTTTTAAATGTCAAAAGTAACAGTGCTGTGAAACTATTGTGTATTTTATCATTCATGTTCACTTTATGTACAATTTTATGAAAGACGCGCTAAAAAGTAATCATCGTTCTATTATGTTAAATCAGCTGTATCTTAAAGCACTTGCTATAAAGTTTATATGGTTTCCTGAATCCAATTTGTCTGGAATGGTTTCTTTTTAGATACAAGGAAAATACAGATCAAAGGGTTATTTTTTCTAAAGATGAATATAAATTAAATATTTAATTCTAATCTTAAAAAAGTGGCTGAAAAGGATTTCGGGATAAACAAGATTTAAGACCTGATTAAGTTATCAGTAAAAGATTACAGCGGGTTTCTCTTCTTCTTTTGAGTACAAAGTCTACTAGGATTATTAAAGTTGATAATTTTTAATTAGGAAAAATGATTTTTCAACTTCTTCTTTTCTTTAGAATAACAAATTATTATACAGTAAAAACCAGAAAACTCTGAAATAGGAAGACGACTTTTGGAATCAAGTAAACACAGTAATTTTGCAGAGTAAACAGATCCAATTAACTAAATTCTAGTCAGTAATAAAACTATTTGCTTTGTTACAACATCAATTTCACTTAAATATTGCAATAATGGTGTCTTGCTAACTGTGGTATTACTTTGGATAGCATTTTATAAACATTTTCCGAGAAGATACAAGCCTAGAGTTAAAACTAAATCTCGGGACAAATTATGATCTAAGAAACTGATTCTTGATGCAGGGAAAATTTAAGTTTATTAACATGCAGCGCCAAGGTCATTGTATCACTCGTTATTTTCTTAAATGTCAGCGAACTTGTCTAAATTCAATTTAGAATTATTTCTAGATATCACAATTAAATTGAAAAAAAATGTTATTTTTAAGATAAATAAAAGTTCGAGAAAATCCGCATTATAGTATACTAAAATATACAGTTTTTTTAACATAAAATGGTTACCAATGTTTACATTCCTTTACGCGATTCTGTTTGTTCGCCGTGATGAGTCACTAGTCTAAGTTCATCAAGACATTTACTAATATTTTGAATAAAATTTAATACTTTTTTTAAGTCCTTTTTAAAAGTAGAAAAATTATCAATTTAATATATAATGCCTTTTTATTGTAATTCTTTTAGCAATTCTTAAACAGGATTTTAAAAGAAACCATATTTGACTTTACCCAACTGCCAAGCCAAACAAGAATAGAAGAGTCTGCGTTTACAATATTAGCAGATCCAAAAAGAAAAAAAGTTTGGACGAAGGCTCTTTAATTGGATCATAATAATTCCTTACGCTGAAAGATCCCGGAGTGTGTAAAAAATATTACATTGTGAAATAAATATTATTACGTTAATTTTCAATAATTTATTTAAATCAGGTAGAGAGAGAATTCAATCTTGAATGAAAAAGTAACGAGATAATTGATTACTGTTAAAAAGTACAAGGTTACAATTGCATAAAAGATAAGAGACATTAATTTTCTTCATATACTTCAAACCAAACATAAATGTTCTAGGGGACTGATGTAATTTCAAGTTACCAACACATTAAAAGTCCTATCAACAACGGTACCATTTCAAAAATTATCTGGGTAACAATGAGGAAGATATCCTCGTTATTTCATCTTAAAAAGTTATGTTTTTTTAAATTATGTTTATTGTCTTTATTGCGTAAAATCCATTTGTGACTTTTATGGAGTATGGACAAATTAAAAATACAAAAAAGAAAAACTAAACTGGTTTTCTTGTTTTATTTTTAAATAACTCTTAAATCCATTACAAAAGACGATATTATGAAACGTCATCAGCGTAAAAAGTACTGAATTATTAGAGAAGACGACATGTTTACCGACAAAATGCGTCAAATTGACATAAATAAAATAATGTCCACACTCTCCACACTAACCTTTTTTTTAGAGATTGGAAGTTTGGAAAACCGTACTGCATAGTAAACAACTTTATGGGACTGTACACGGTTGCAACATGTGTATTCTCTCTCGTAGCGCTTACTCTGGAAAGGTGAGATTCAAATTAATGTATAAGAAGATTAAAAAAAAAGGCGAAGATGTTTTAAACCACTTTTAACAACATGCATGAAGCATGACGAATGACGATGCTCAAAATTTGAGTACAATAATCTAAAGTACTTAAAAAAGAATGTAAAAATGCCGAACGAAAAAAAGGTGTGGTGAACTGTGACTTGTGACGTCATTTACGGTGCAAACGAAAAAATGGTGTGGTGTGCGTGCCTTCCCTCGCGTTCTCAAGTAGGGATTCCAGCAGAACGGTAAATCTTTGCATTTTTTTTATTCCGTCGCAAATTCCTAATTTATTGGGCATGGAATGTGCGGAAAACAGTTTGTCAAAAGAAGTTTGCGAAAAGAACTCTGCTTCGTATAAACTTTTTTTAAAAAAGAGTTTTTTAAGTGCTGCAACTAATTTTTGTAGCCTTAGTAAGGGTGATCAATATTGGAATCAAGCCAACCGCCCACCAGGGGTTGCAAAGTTTTCACTAAAATAATTACATTATTTTGTATTATACTTCATGTTATGGAAATTGTACGCTGAATTCAAATCTGAATATTTTTACGCACCATACTCCACAGCTGACAGGGGCATAGCAACGCTACACTACATCTAACGGTCGGGATCACAAGCTCCCCCTAGGCCCTTAAATGGAAAAAATAAATGTTGCATATACTAAATGTTACCTTTACTTAATGTTACCAGTACTAATGTTACCTATACTAAATGTTACCTAAACGAAATGTTACCTATATGAAATGCTATCCTTACAAGATGTAACTTATAATAATTGTTACCTAAGCGAAATGATACCTTTACGAATTGTTGCTGTTACTAAATGTTAGCCATACTAAATATTACCTATACTAAATGTTATTGGTACTAAATGTTACCTATAATACTAAATAATACCTATACTAAATAATACCTACACTAAATGATATCTATACTAACTGTTACCTTTACTAAATGTTATTTATACTGTATGTTACCTTTACTAAATGTTATATATACTAAATGTTACCTATACAAAATGTTATCCATACTAAGTGTTACCTATACTAAATGTTACCTTTACTAAAAGTTATCTATACTAAATATTACCTTTAATAAAGGTTACCTTTACTGAATGTTACCTTTACTAAATGTTAAATCGATAATTACAGGAAACAATTAAGAAGATACTACGTTGGGCTTGCAATTGCATTAAACTATAATTGTCTAATTCCTTCATTTATGAAACCTTTGAAATTTTAAACTTTAAATTGTTGATCTCACAACGTTAATAACTTTGAAATATAAAAGACATTGCAGGTTGCAAAAAGACGATGATTTACATTCATTAGAGTTTGAGGTAAGGCACATTTGTCTGAAGTACACTTACCGCGTATACAATAACCTATTCTGACTATTTCATATACAAATGGAGTACCCATTTGCAAAGCATGGATAATCATATTGTAGGGCGAACCGCGTCAATTGTATCTCCCTTCTATTCCTTACTCCCTGGTTTGAGGCGAAAGCAATAGGTTGTTTTTAATATTCTTTATGCTTAGGTAATCGTGTGGAAGGTAGCCTACGGGGGTATGCTTACAACAGCAATATCAGCAAATCTGATCGTTCTTTGGATAATTTTAGGCAAGTAAAGAGAAATATGAAAAAAAGATAAAATTGTGGGTAAATTTAAGGAAGCAAATAGCCCTTGGTTGGATTTATTTAAAATTTTCTGTGAAATTTGGAATTCACATGACAAGTATTAGAAAGTCTGTCCAAGAAGTATCTAAGAGTAAATTATGCGTTTTACTGTTACTAGTGATCTGTCTTCACTTAATTCAATTTTGGGTATTTCTTTGTTTTTATTTCCTTTCAAGGTTAAAATGTAACATAGTTAAAAGAAGTAAATGAATCTTAAATTGTTTATTCTAAACATGTGTTTTACTTAACCCTATTCCCGCTGGGGGGGGGTCAATTTGACCCCCCCCCTCTAAATAACATGTTTGATGTCCAAATATGACACATGATACATTATTGGAAAGCTCTTATGACCTACATTAAAATATATTAAAATAGAAAGATTATTGTGGATAAATATTCACGCTGGAGAAACAAGGTCTGCAGAAACATGATCAAACTGGGGTAAATTAGTTTTATAAACATCTTTTTGATTATTATTTTTTTGGAGTTCCAAAAAAAGTATTTGAATAATTAAAAATCTTCTATAAGTTTGAATCTTTTGTGACAAATTGTCACTACTTTTAGTGAGACGTATATTGCCTATGTATTTTATACATGAAATCATACCATGACAAAAAATAAAAACTTTGGATTCCTTCATTTTTTTGTGGAAAAATCCATAACTTCGTTATTTCCTATTTTTGTTGGTAGAAATTAGAACTTTTTTATTTTACAAAGATATCATGGCCAATCTTCCCATTTAGAGAGTTGTTTTGATTTTTGATGCACAAAATTCAGGAATCTGTTTTTGTTTTGTTTTTGATACAAAGTGTAAAGATTAAAAAAAATATTCACTAAATCAAATTAGAAAAATAAAATACTTGTAATCTTTTTTTAATTAAACATGAGTATTAGGGATTCTAAGAGGTGTTTTGACTTTTGATACAGTGCTTAAAGGGACCGTTCACTTATTTGGGTAATTTCAGGGTAAACTAAACAGCCTATTCGCTGTTGATTAGTAATAGTCTTACTTTTCAAAAACAACTGTGGCCGGAGAAAAAGTTGATTTTTCGTTCAGAATTCGAGCGCAAAGGGACGGTCCCTTTCTATAGACACTAATTGATGTTTTTTTTTCAGCATGTTGTGAATCAAAATAAATTTTGAATATAAAATTAAACTGTAGTATCTTATCGTTAATTGTAAATGTCATTATTTTTAATTTTTTTTTTTTGTTTTTTAACTTTCTATTTCTAAAATAACACTATTTTACGCATTCAAAATTGTGTATTGCCTGTGTAAAAAGCTGAATTGGACGCGGCATGACAAATGAAAAGTTGTGCACATACGGGAAAAAAATATACAAAATCTACGAACCAAAATACGATTAATGATTAATTGATTGTCGTAGAGACGTCGTCTTTGTAAACACATTTTACATGTTTTAATACGAAAAACGTAAATTTCTTGCTAACTCAAATATCAAAAGTTTTCAGATTTTTGTATATAATAACGAACACATAATGACATTAAAATATAATAAATTTAAATGTTATTGGGCTGCTGTTACTGAAAAAAACATCAAATAGTGTCTATAGAGAGTCCGTCCCTTTCCACTCAAATTCTAGACGAAAAATCGGCTTTTTCTCCGGCCACAGTTGTCTTTGAAAAGTAACACTATTACAAATCAAGAGCGAATAGGCCGTTTAGTTTACCCTGAAATTACCCAAATAAGTGAACGGTCCCTTTAAAAAACTTTCTTTTAAAATTTGTCATCTCTGTTAATCCATGAGAAAACTTAACTATTGTTGTTACTTTCCGAAATACGAAATCTGATAACAAAAATCCTTGCGATCAAATTCTGAATGAAAAATCGGCTTTTTCTCCGGCCACAGTTTTCTTTGAAAAGTAAGACTATTACCAATCAACAGTGAATAGGCTGTTTAGTTTACCCTGAAATTACCCAAATAAGTGAACGGTCCCTTTAACATCAGACTAAGATGAGAGGCCTGGAAAGCTAAAATATCATAACACTTTCTTTCACTTACGGTGGAGCATTACCCGAAATTAGGTGCTAATTAGGTGTACGAAAGAAAGTTTAGTTTCGCGTTATTAAGGCGTAATTACGCGAAATTACGTAATACGAAACCATTCCGATACAACCATGTCCTATTGGATTGGATAATTTAAATACTTTCAAATTGAATTAAATTCGGTGATTGACCAAACCTCTGTAGAGAAAAAAGGAAGTGTTACTTCCACATTTTATTAAAAATATATTTCGGTCTAGGTTGACCCTTGTCAGTTCTAACGATATAATAACCATCAAGATCGATGTTAAAAACCACAAGAAAATAAACAAACAAAAAAGATTATTTAAAAAATGAAATGGTCTGTCAAATGGACAAAAGGGAAACGAACTCAGATCATGAGATGGAAAAAAGATAATTTGCAAATATTTACTTTTGAAAGAATGTTTTAAGAAAATTATTATTCCTTGAGATTGTTTCTGTCGAATGAAGAATAAAAACAAACTGTTTAGTTTATTTGTATGGCGTTTAAAGTGGTGTGGGTCGATCTAATTAACGAACTTTTACATAATTCATGGGGGGGGGGCGGCTTGTTTTAGGAGGGCTATTTAAACCTTTTAAAGAATTAGAAAAAAAAAAATACTCTTGTTTTCTTAAAAATACTGAATTACAGTTTACAATTAATTAAAAATTATTTTTTTTTGTTCATTCCTGTGAGATTAGTCATAAAATTTCTGATGTATTTAGTTTCTCGTACTTAAAGTAAACTTCTCACAAGGTCCCAAACCTTCTCTAGTACTTTTAGACGGTAGAGTTCATGTACAGGAAGGTTAAAATGTTCTACTGTAGGCTGGTTTGTAAGGAGGTTTCGTTAATTAGGTGTAATTATTGCAACATTTCGCGAAATTAATTTTGTGGAAATTACGCGAAATTACGGCCTTAATTCACGAAATCAAAGTTTCGCTAAATACGTGTAATTACTAAAAATTTTTGCGAAGTTACATCGTAGAAATTACGCAAAATTACACAGTAATTTCGCGAAATTGAAGTTTCGCCAAATACGCAAAATCTTGCGAAATTTCACGAAATAAAATAATTTCGCGTAACTGCACGTAATTTTGCGTAAGTGAATTATCTATTACGTTGGAAACCCTACGCTTTCTGGGACTAATGTGTACCCAGCCCTAAGCGGACTTTCTCGATCCCTGGTGAAGATTTGCAATCTTTTTTTGTAAATCAAAATTTTCATATTTCCGAGTTTTTTTAAGTTTATAGTATTTAAATATAGATTAAATCTTATCTGCAATCTAATCTTGTCAGAAAATTCCCTGACGCCAGGTTCCTAATTTTATGCTTAATCATTCTGACTCCCTCTAGAATTATAATTTTCTAACATTATTTATATTTACAGAGTTATATGTAAAATATATAGCTAAAAATTTAAAAATTTTACCGTCTTTTGCCCACAGTACCTTACCATGATTTCTAAAAACAGCGAGATGTTGAAATTATCACCATCTCTTTGAACTATTAACTATTAAAGGGTTAAAATGCCTGATCGTAGCCCACTTTTTCAAGGCCAGCTCATTGAAAAAAATTAAACCGATAACTTAAACAATTTGGGTGCAAGGAAGATTTGAAAAAGTATTAAAAAAAGTAAAAAAAATATTTAAAAAAAAATTAAATATCATAATTTCTACATCCACTTTTCAAGTGCTTTTAAAAATATAGTTTTTAGATCTGTAGCTTAAGTCGTAAACAAGTTATGGGCTATTTTATAATTTTTCACACATACCGGACGGGTACTATGCATTAAAAAATACAAACAAATTCTTTAAATTTCTATTCATTAAAAGTCATAAAATTTCACGGTAATATAGTGCCAAAAATGAGAGTGTTCTGTTTTTGTTAGTAAAATAACCTTCCGCTTTGCGATTTTTTGTAAAAAGATGTGTGTATTTTCATCTCAAAAGACGAGAAAATTGTATACAACTACATTTCCGGCAAATTAAGAATTTTACTTAACAACGAGTTCCCAAGACAAATTTACAAAATATTCCTCGCTAAGCTCTAAACGTTTTTCGGGCAAAAGAATAAAGTTTTTGCCACAAACTCTAATTTTCTAATGCATATATCTTAGCAAGCTGATTGTGTAAACCTTCTAAATTTCAAACTTAGGTTATTTGATCTATAAAAATTCGTAGTTTGAAATATCTAAGGTCTATAGACATTTGGTTGCAAATATATAGGGATAAGAAAATCAGATTTTGTGGCAAAGACTCAATTCCTTTGGTCTTGGGAACCCTTGCTAAAGTAAAATTGCTTTTTTGGACCATGACATTTTAAATTTAGACAATAAATTTCTTTTCAGTATTTACTTCTTGCAGATGCTAAAAATTATCATTATTTTGTATGTGGTATTAAGTTAACAAACACATTTTTGAAATTAAATTAAATGTTCATGAAAAAAATTGAAAAAGGCTTTATCTTGTTAATTTTTCACAATAATTTGAGATAGAATTATGGGCGGCTTGGCAAGTCCTTTAAAAGGATCCTTCAAGGATTTCAAGGATCCTTCCATCTATAAAGTGACTTATCATTCCTATTCACAACAGTAGCATATATTTTTTGCATACAGTAGAGCTTGTAATTATTTATAACTTTGCATGTAATCTCTTTATGTAATTCAATTACATAAATAAATATCATATGAAAGCTGCCAAAAGTAAATATTTATATTTAAAGTTTCTGAAACCATGTTAGACATATAGCATATAATGTTCGGGAACCTTGAGAAACAAATGAAGTCAGCTGTGTTGAGTTCACAACTTCACACTGTATGCCAGCGTACACTTTGAGGCTTCCCGGTAATTTGAACATTAATTAAATGATAAACACACAGATTGCTCGATGATCTGACAAAGGTGTTTTCGTTGTGAATCAGGCAGGGCCCTTCTATAAATGGAAAGTCACTTGAAATTATATACGGAATAGGGATAGTTCCATTAATGTAACCCCTTCAATGAACCCGGAGCTAAGCTCAGATTGGATAGTTCCATTGATGTAACCCTTCAGTCCTCATATGAACCCAAAGCTAAGTTCGGATTGCAACTTGCAAGTAGTCCGGCCTATAAGCATGACAATTGTTAGTTCTTTTGTATGTATAGCTTTAGGTTAAACAGAAAGTGGGGTGGATGATAAGTCGCCTCGTGTATATATAGTGTAATCAGAATCTGGTCGTTAAAAGATGTGGAATGTTTTCAACGCGTGAAAAATTATAGCTGCGTGCGCCGTTAAACTCTCTATTTAAAACTCAGGCCACCAGGTGAAGACTCACCAGGGAGCAGAAAACAAGGTTTGATCGTCTTTACAGTCGCATCCTTTGATGGTAACCTAACAATTATATACTGGATTAAATAAACTACTGTTTATGAATGATTTTACGTCAGGTGGAGTTGGACGCCGATACATTATTAATAGATCTTTTTTGGAAATTTTTTTCCATTTGGCTGAATCATGCCATTATTCTGAAATAAAATCATGATTTTAACTTATTTTAACTGTTGAATTATGCTATTAAAGAATGAAGTGCGTCTATTATGTGCTTATACTTGACTATACTACGATGCACTATAGTTCATCTTATTCTATGACAAGATTATCTATTAAAAAAGGTCTACCAAAGGAATTGAGTCTTTGCTACAAACTAAAATTTTCTCATCCCTATATCTTTGCAACTTAATGGTGAAAGCTTTTTAATAATTCAAAATTGGCCATTTTTTATTCCAACAAAATTTAAAGTTTGAAATTTCTATAAATTGAAACACTTATGCAAAGATTTCAGGATCAAACAATCTGAGTTTCTTTTAATCATAAAACAGAACATTTTCGAATATAGATAAAGTAAATGAAACAGATAGACCGCGTTTTTATACTTACTAGGCTTTTAGGGCGCTTCGCGCCCACCGTCTTTTTCAACTTTTAATTGTGGCTTAATCTGTGAGCTTCTTATCTTTGTACAGTATAAAATTTTCTTTCTTTTTTAATTTGCGGATTTCATAATATTTTTTCGTGCATTTTCAAAATTTTTCAAATAAATAATTTAAGATAAAAATATTTCAAGATTACATATTTAAAGTCTGATTGGCCATAAACCTTCCCTGGGGCAACGTGAGGTCCCACACAAAAGTTGGGCCCGATCGGTTCAGCCGTTTTGACTTTTTTTTGGATACAAACAAACAGAGCTAGACCCAAGCCCGCGATTTAAGATCTTCGGCTCGACATAAGGAGTTATAGGCCCAATGAAAATAAAACCGACCTTGGTTGGTATTAGTGGAGTATAAGGCTCTAAGTTGAGTCTTGTTCTCAAAAAAACTCGGAATGCGCCAATTCCTACCATGAACATCCGCCAAATAGAACATTAAACCGGTTTTTTTTTAACTCAACTCGATCTGTGGAATATAAGATGCAGCTTGAAACTGAAAGCTCAAGCCGTAAATGATGTTCAACGACAGCTTAGACCCGAGCCGTATTTTCCCAAGTTTTTTAAATCAAAGGCTCAGGAAAATTAGACAACAAACTAGAGCAGTTCTACCACCAAAGTTTACTTGACCATGAAGTTTAAAGAAGTGCTCGCAAAAAATAAAAGGGGTACGGGCTGATATCAAATTGAATACAATATTGATCGCTATTAATTTTACTTCTAAGGAGAAACTTATTTGAAAATTAAATTTAAGACTAATTATTCAGATATTTCACCCTATAAATGTCGAATACAAACATTTGTATATAGTTGATAACTCTTAACGATCTTAAATTAAGCTGGAATCAACTTGTGTTTATGTCCTTATTAATACCGAATCTGGTTTCAAATTTTGAAATATTTAATATTCAGGTACTATGTTGTAATGTATCCGTTGCGAAGACGACCAACAAAATCAATAGCTGTTTGCGGCATTCTAGTCATCATGGCGTTCTCTGCGCTAATCTGCCTCCCCTCCCTGCTCTACTCTAAACTTGGCACCATTGGGTAGGACGTCAAAATATTACTTATTATTATCAAATGAATTGAGTCTTTGCCACTAACTCTGATTTTCTAATCCGTATATCTTTGCTAACCAATGTCGTAGAACTTTGATATTTCCAACTATGATAAAAAAATATAAGTTTGAAATATAAAAAATGTACTCCATCTGGCTGCAAAGATATATAGGTTGAAAAATTTGGTTTGTGGCAAAGACTTAAATCCATTACCAGAATATTTGTTTGATTTTTAAAGATTTTTGAAAATCACCCGACAAAAACCATAAACTATATAATTTTTTATATATTTGAAAAAATGAAATGATTTCGGTAAAAGTAAAATTCAGAAGCTAAATTATCAAAAATAGGGGTAGTAATAAAAGCGCCAATGTAACTTGAAATAATACATTTAGTGAAACTCAGATATAAAAATATATCGGATTAATTTTTAAAATGTTGTCCTCAAAAATTTTCCCTCGCTGAGATATTTAAAATCTGAGCCCAAATTTTATGACTTAACTCCGCCAAAAACCAGTTTCAATGGAGCACCGGCTCAAATCCATGAAACATCAAATACAATTTTAAGAGGAACCAACCATATTTAAGTCACATTTCAAATTTATGCCGCTGCTAAAATTTTTAGATTCGGCCTCATAAGGATGTTTTTTTATAAATAAGCACCCAAATTTATGAATTTATTCATATTTCCAAAAAAAAATTTGGAAATTTTCATTCACGATAAAAACGTTGACAGCTCGGGAAAATACAAGACGTGGCCATACATTTAAAAGCAAGGCGACATTATATGTATTCTTCCGATGTCTTCTTAAATTTCGGTTTAACAGTACATCATTTGTTTTTTTAAATCATATTTATTGTAAAATTTGTAATCAGGGACGATACTTCTGGAAAGAGCACTGTGTGCTTCCTCATGTGGCCTGACGGTTTGCCATTCCAATCCACTATAGACTTCTGGTGGGTAAATTTTCTTTAAAATAAAGAAATAAAAAAGTCATAATTAAACAAATATTGATTTTAGGTACAATGCTTTCTTTTTAAGCATCACCTACCTAGTTCCGGTTGTTCTAATGGGTAAGTTATATATTTTTAATTGTTGTTATACGGCAAATCCCCTTTCGAATGTATACATTTTAATATTCTGCAAAAAATTGAAAATTTGCAAAATTTCTAATATTAATTGAAATAACAAGGTACATTAAGAAAAAATTTGCAATCTGCTTCCTTTTTTGCATGCTTTCCAAAGACCTATACAAAGTCGAAATCCAATGACCAAAAGTAGGTTGATAAGTAAAGATTTAGTCAAAAAAAATTAAAAGCCTCAAACCAATACTTTTGGAGTTATCTCCGAAAAACGTCATCCAGGTGGGTCCTGCGGGGAAATTTTTTATAATCATATTAAAAAAAGTAGCTTTTATGTATATTCTTTTATACTAAGGAGTAAGGAGGGGGTTCCTTGGATCCCTTTCCTAACCTCAATACGTTTCTTGGATATTTGATATTTGACAATGTAACAATAAACACAATATATAGAATACAATCAAATATGCATCAAATGTTGATCTGTTTTGTCTGTCATATTAATAGCATTTGTCTTTCAACAGTTAAAAATCGTTGATATCATAAAATGCTGTCGTTAGAAAGAACAATTATCGATGCGCCTGTATGATTTTTGCAAAAAATTTCATATTTTTCAATAGATATATTTTTAGAAGATTTCCTCAAGGGTACATCATTAATTGCAGATGTTTTAGTGTTCATATTCTAAACTACTCTAATCGAATTTTTTATTGCGATTTTTTGTTTGGTCTCACTCTTAATTCATCAAATCAATTCTGTTGAAAATAAGTTAAATATTTGCAGGCACTATTTAGTTTTTTTTTACAAATTAGTCTTTTTACAATATGATAAATGATTAAATTTTTGAATATGGTAAACATCCCTAAAGTTAAAACTACTCCTTTCCAAAATCTATTCTTCATACATTTGACATATGTTTAGCTCTTTTATAAAAACCTTCCTGACATTATAACAAATAAACTGCAGTAAACAAAAATATACTTCTCCCCCCCCCCCCCCTAGTGTTACTGGTTTTTAATTTAAGAGTTTTCTTACGGAACTGGCCAGTTTTCCACTGGCTTTTAATCACTACGACTTCGACTTCTCTTAAAAAAAATCTTAAGCGGCCAAGCCTTATTTGACTTAAATAGAGGTTAATGTGATAAACTCAAAATTGCTATGTTAGCCTCTCCCCCCTTTATACCCCACTGTGCCCCCCTTCCTCCCCTAGCCTATAACATATAGACCATCAACCTTTTTCGGGTTAAAGCCAAATTACCTTGACTGTTTAAAAACCAAGAATCTGTTACTATATAGGGTTCTGTTACACCCAAATTGGAATCAAGCTGTGGGGTTCAGATGCAATCCTTCATCAAACTAGTGTTTCTAATCCAGCTCTTTCCAGGCTTCAGGAGAAAAAAAGAAAGGTTAGAAATGTTCACTTTTGATTCAACATCTTTATAAAGATAAGAAATTAAATCTTATCTTTTTATATTAAATGTTAGATAATCATTGTATCAATTCATGTATACCATGATTAACCTGCTATCTATTCAAGTCTTTCTGTGTTTGATTAAATTATAGCAAAATTCTCAAGAAGCTGTTTTCAATTTTTTCTTAATATATTCTGTGAAATTGAAATTTCTTTAAGTATTCTATCAAAGTTAAATAGTTCATATGGTTTCCTCCAATAACATAATTTAATATTTTTTTTAGCAATAATCACCAAAAATCCAGGTGCTGTTTCTGCAACAAATATAAAAACTTTTTTTTAACCAAATATAAAGTGGATGGGCGGATTATTGGTAATGTCAATTTGGTAATGACAATTTGGTAATGAAAATTTGGTAAGGTGACAATTTGGTAACGACAATTTGGTAATGACAATTTGGTAAGCTCACAAAAGTGACAATTTGGTAATGACAAATTGGTAACAACAAAAAAGTGACAATTTGGTAATAAAAATTTGGTAACGTCATTAAAGTGACAATTTGGTAAACGAAATAAAAGTGACATTATGTAAAATTGTTTAATTTTTAGTTTTACATTCAACTGAAGATAATCTTTTATTTCTGCACAAAAGAAATGCGCCCAAAATAATTGTAAAATTCGCAATATTTTCTAAAAACCACGTTTCAACCTGCACTTGTGTCATATACTGCAAGAAGAGGAGACTTGGATCATGAATTTCTTAAAAACTCGGTGATGGTGATGGACCAAACCTCTGTAGAGTAAACAAGTAGATGTTAGTTCCACATTTATTGAAAATATATTTCGGTCTGGGTTGACCCTCGTCAGTTCTTGAGATTGTTTCTTCACAAAGATTAAAAACAAACTTTCTTATTCATCACCCCTTTTAGGGGTGGCAAAATGTTACAAGATTCAGAAGGATTTAAATACTACAACAAGAATGAACTTTATGTATGTCAATGTTAGGAAGTTATTAATGTTACTTTTTTACGTAGTTACCAAACTGTCCCTTTTATAATCAACATCTAACATTTAAGAGGATGCAGTGCTTGGCCCCTAGCCCATCTTAGCCGCAGCACCCGGCCCAGATATTGTCTTAACCGAACCTAACCCAAAATATTATGAGAAACAGCACATTATTTAACATTTAATAGCCTGCAGCGCTCGGTCCCCTAGCCCAACCTAGCCGCAGCTCTCGGCCCATAAATTGTCTTAACCTAACCTAACCTAACCCAAAATATTGATAGAGACAGCACATTTATTTAACATTTAATAGGCCGCAGCACTTGGCCCCCTAGCCCATCCTAGCCGCAGCGCTCGGCCCAGAAGTTGTCTTAACCTAACCTAACCCAAAATAATGAGAGAAACAGCACATTATAAACTTTTAATAGGCCGCAGCGCTCGGCCCCCTAGCCCATCCTAGCCCAAGCGCTCGGCCCAGAAATTGTCTTAACCTAACCTAACCCTAAATAATGTGAGAAACAGCACATTATTTAACATTTAATAGCCTGCAGCACTTGGCCCCCTAGCCCATCCTAGCCCCAGCGCTCGGCCCAGAAATTGTCTTAACCTAACCTAACCCTAAATAATGTGAGAAACAGAAAATTATTAAACATTAAATTGAATTAAATTTAACTTTATCAACAAATTATCCCTTTTTTGTAGTTACCATATTGTCATTACCAAATTGTCACTATTATGACGTTACCAATTTGTCATTACCAAATTGTCACTTTTTTGTTGTTACCAATTTGTCATTACCAAATTGTCACTTTTTTGAGCTTACCAAATTGTCATTACCAAATTGTCACCTTACCAAATTGTCATTACCAAATTGTCATTACCAAATTGTCATTACCAAATTTTCATTACCAAATTGACATTACCAAAAATCAGCCCGTCTATAAAGTGGTTTCTAATGTATCATTTCTCATAGCAAATTTCTAAAATACCTATTTTATTAAAACCCCCAGTAAGTCTGAAAAATGAGAAACCTTAAAAAAAATAGTATGATTCCAGACAAGTTTAAAACCATACGTTTATAAGAACCAGACATATATGTAAAATAAATGAGAGGAAGGTCTAAACTATTTTAAATGATATTTCCTCAAGATTTTCAGGAAATCCGTGAAATTAATACAAAATCCGTGAGTTTTGTCTTCAGTGTACGCTGAATGTAGTATGGACAATGTTTGCAGTAAAAAAAAGAGGAAGACGTCCTGGTCCCTCCTCTCTTCACTTTTTAAATTTTGTTGAAACTATTATTATTAAGATTGTAAAGATGAGTTTGGTTGTTGTTGTACTGTTTGCTGTTTGTTGGCTACCCTACCAGCTGTACTTCCTTCTCATTTACCTACTGCCAGGTAATTTAGATTCAAATTCAAAGTTAGAACTCGTGTTCTACAGAATAATTCAATTATCTCGATATCTTGTGGTGACCATACCCTGCAGGGATGACCGTAAAGAAGGGATCAAGTATTATAAATCACTTTACAAGTGCTCACGTCGGATATTGAGATCTAGCGTTTTACATTATAGCTTGGTTGGTTTCGTAAACTTCTATTCTAAGTTTTACAACAAATGTATGAGATTTTTATTGGGTTTAATCAGGGGCTGGATATTAGTTACCTCTCTGTGTGCATTGGGGTGAGCATATGTTTAGTATATTTCACTGATAAAGGATGTTAAAAGATTATGGCCTTTTCATACAGTACAAAAATCAAATATGCAACACCCTTTTAGAGTACAAGTGTCTGGGGAGGTTTTGTATTTTGAGTTTTTCTCAGTTTTCTCAGAACAGTTTATTAACGATGAAATATTGCTCTGTAAAAGACTGTAAATTTACGTCTTCCTGTGAAAATGGAATCCTGCACACGATTAAAAAGTAGTGGATTTTAATAGTTACATGGAATACAAATTCTGCATTTAAATATTTTCAGAAATCATCGAGTACTGTAATATACAGATTGACCTTTGGAAGTGAAGTACATGGCCTGTACAATTAGTAAAGGATTAGCGTACATCATCACTCTATATACTATAACCTCGTTGGGAATAATTCAAAAGAGGAAAATCTAATAAATTAAAAGTTTCACTAGAGATAACTACTTATCTATTTGTTTATCTATTGCCTGTTTTATTCATTGATTTTTTCAATATCTGTAAATATATATCAATGCAAAGTAGCTTGTTAAAATATTTTTCTCACATTTGAAACTTTGTTACTTTCAATTTATCAAAATCTGACAGCTGAAAGTGGGCCAAAACAAAGATTTAATCGGGCTTTTTCTAAATTCCTTGGTCCTCAGACACGCTGCCTGACTAACCTGATTGGCTGAATTTTATAAACTTTTCAGGAAAAAAGTACAAGATTAGGTTAGTCTCGAGATTAAGAATAAGAGAGGATCAAGCATAAATCTTGATATCCACCATTCTAAAGTTTTCAGCTCCGGACACCCAATATCATTCGTTTATTTACTATCTTTCTATCCAAGTAACTCTGTCACTTATGTTGATTATGAAATCCACAAATCAGTTGTGTCGGATCCTGGAACCGAAGAAGACCTTCTCAACTTCCTCTCCTTTTAAACACTTGTTATTTATCATGTAATTATATCTAGAGGAAGTTGAAAAGGTCTTCTCCGGTTCCAGGGTCCGACACAACTGATTTGCGGATTTCATAATCCTCTTTCGGGGGTTTCATATCCTCTACAACATATATATTAGAATCAACTGCCAATAATAACAAAGATTTTCACAAAATATTAGAATTTTTCTGGGCAATTGTAGGAAATTCGTCGGTCAGAAGCGACATAAAGTATAAGCCTCCCCCCCCCTTGACATTCACTTATATTTTTTTTTTTTTTTATAAAAATATTAAAGTATATGACGACAACACTAATCCAATGACGCAATGGATCAATCTAATTTTACAAAGTAAATGTATTTTCCAGTGCCTTGGACCTACTTAATTTTTATGCAGATCCGGATCTGGCGAACACTTTTTTAAACAGTTCAGATTTAAGTTTTTAGAGTAAAGAGTATTTTTTTTGCAGTTTTTTGTTGATATTTTCCACTTAGATTCGGAACCGTGGATCCGCATATTTTTACGGTTCCGGATCCGAATCCAGGCAGCCAAAATCTTGCAGATCCTACGAATCCGGATCTAGATCCTAAGCATTGGACTATTTTCCCAAGAAAACAAAGTGTTTCATATATATTTAACAGGAAAAAAAGGAGCTAAAATTATATTCCTATTCTCGAACAGAGTTGTGCAAGCTACATAATTTCACTCACGCTGTTTCGAGTGTGTGTGTGTGGGGGGGGGGGTCCAGACCATTTTAAGGTTTTACTCTTTCATACTTGTAAATATAAATTGCACCGTCCCTGATTAAGTGATGTTATTCACCGGTTTTTGTTTTGGCAAACAAAGTGTACTGCTTAGTTCAAAATATACGCATTGTTTTGTAAATTATCAATAATATCGAAACCTATTTGACTGTAGGAGTGATTCCAAGGTACTAATGCAAGGAAAGTTAATTGTAGTTGCGTATACACTGTGAACATATTGAAACCAGTTCATTCTGGGCGGAATTTGTAAACAAGAATGGGTCCATCAGTGTTCGTTTAGTATCTGAGGAGGTTAAAAGCATTAAATTTTGATAATTTTGATAATTCAGATAGTAGTTTCCTATGACCAGATTATTTCATTGTTTTTTATGTGAAAGATAAATCCCATGTAAAGCTTTGCCATCTATCTTGTGTATATATTACCGCCCAGAGACAGTACACTGCAGTACAAAAGATGCGTACACCTGTGAAATAACTTTCCTTGCATTACAACCTTGAGTGATTCCATCACCCGAGCGTCAATGGAATGTAAACCTTTATATAAACCTTTTAGATCTGTTTATTTTTATATTCAATTATATACTAACTTAAAAATTGTGTGTTGATATAAAAAATGTATTTTTAAGTTTACAAATTTTTGTCCTGAAGAAATAAATATTACTACTCTTCAACCATTCTTTAACTACGTGACTGTAAATCTTTAGAAACCTATTTTTGATTTTGGGATTTCCCCAATATTCACTCAACACACGCATCTATATATATATAAAGTAGTAGTTTCTGTTTTATCTGATCATAACTCAGGAAGCCCTTAACCGATTTGCCTTAAATATTGATCGGGGAACTCTTTAAAACCACGGGAATATTCTTAGCTTTAATTAAACATGTCTAAGTTAAATAGGTTCACACTTGTTTTCCAGGAAAAGCTGGGTTCTCAAGATAGTTATTTATAAAATGCTTTATATAATAAGTTTTATTCATTTTAGCTCTGCATGTAAAAGTCTGGCTTGACGATGTGTATCTCAGTGTCTACTTCTTGGCAATGTCAACTGCCCTCATCAACCCTGCAGTCTACTACCTCATGAACAGGTTATTAGATACTCAAACAGTCTACTGGATTTTAAACAGGTTACTACTGTTACTCATGCAGTCTACTACCTCATGAACAGGTTACTATAGTTACTAATTCAGTCTACTACCTCATAAACAGGCTACTATAATTACTCATGTAGTCTACTACCTTATGAACAGGTTACTACTGTTTCTCATGCAGTCTACTACCTCATGAACAGGTTACTATAGTTACTCATGTAGTCTACTACCTTTTGAACAGGTTACTACTGTTACGCTTGCAGTCTACTACATCATGAACAGGTTACTATAGTTACTAATGCAGTCTACTACCTCATGAACAAGTTAATATAGTTACTCATGTAGTCTACTACCTTATGAACATGTTACTACTGTTACTCATGCAGTCTACTACCTCATGAACAGGTTACTATAGTTACTAATGCAGTCTACAACCTCATGAACAGGTTACTATAGTTACTTATGTAGTCTATTACCTTGTGAACAGGTTACTACTGTTACTCATGCATTCTACTACCTCATGAATAGGTTACTATAGTTACTTATGTAGTCTACTACCTTATGAACAGGTTACTACTTTTGCTCATGCAGTCTACTGCCTCATGAACAGGTTACTATAGTTATTAATGCAGTCTACTACCTTATGAACAGGTTACTATAGTTACTCATGTAGTCTACTTCCTTATAAATAGGTTACTACTGTTACTCATGCAGTCTACTACCTCATGAACAGGTTATAGATACCCATGCAGTCTACTACCTCATGAACAGGTTACTATAGTTACTCATGCAGTCTACTACCTCATGAACAGGTTATAGATACCCATGCAGTCTACTACCTCAAGAACAGGTTACTATAGTTACTCATGCAGTCTACTACCTTATGAACAGGTTACTAGATACCCATGCAGTCTACCTATAAAGTAAATTTTTAGAATACTTTTTTTACAAAAAGTTTAAAATTCATTAAAAAATAAATACTTTTTAATCTCAATACAAATGTAACTTAATATGTAAACCTGTTATTTTATTTGAGACAAAAATAAAAGACTATTTTATTTTATTTTATTTAAAAATCAGGTTGCAATGGTCAAAATATTAGAAGATGATTTTTTTATATTGAAGATATTTCTAGAAAATTTCGCAACTACTTCCACAGAGCCATGTGCTTACATCTCTGCAATCAAAACAGGTGAACATTTCTTTTTTTTTAAAGATTTTTTTCGCCTTTTAATTTCATGAAAACTCCCAGTATCCATTTTGGGACGCATTTTGATTTGCAAACAAAACAAAAAAAAACATTTTATAACTAAATTATCTCTAGTTTAGAGCCAATTTAGAATAAAAATGGTTTTTTTCTTCTATTTTCTGTGTTTACGATCCCAAAATGTTCCAAACTCCAAACTTGTAAATGAGCAGAACTGGAGGCTGCATGCAAATTTTTAGCCTTTTTACTAAAATTAAAAGACCAAATGCAGCCTGTACATAGCAAATTCATTTGCTATGAAGGGGCTATTATAATGACCATCGCTACTTGCTGGTTCTCTTCAGTACAAAAAAAAATAAAAAGTATGAAACCTATGTTGTGCTAAGTAACCCCTTGATAAGAGGATAACAATAAAAAGTTTTTTTTTATTACAATAATAGTATTTTTATAATTTATAATTAGTGAATTAGAAAAAAAAACACAAAATGGCCATGTCAAATCAAAAATATTTTGAGTCCTATCGGCTTACTTGTTCATTGTCTATTGAGAAACAAACGAAAAATAAGTAAATATAGGTTTTACTTTAAATACCTGTGTATGCTTAAGTTGGATCTTCAAAAGGCGACCTAAAACAACCTAGTGAAATATTGTTCGATAAAAAGTAACTAAGTTCTTGATAGCAAAGATTATACACTTCAGTTAAAAAATTTAATGATCATATGGTTTAGGGCCACCTCACCTGCAGTAGAAAGCAATGCAAACACAACGCGGCAAATAGTTAGGTAAGCTTATATAAACAGAGGACCGGAGGGGATAATATAATCTTTAAACAAGGTTTGTTGTAACACTGGCAAAAACAATTCTATTTTTTCATATTCGTTTTTCAATCGCACGGGCAACGCTGGACACTCCAGCTAATATTTTATTACTTTTTTCTGATAAGTATTTAAACATTAAACAGGTTTGACCACTTTTTGACTGAAAATATAACCTTTCAAACTTTGTATGATATTCTGTAACTTAAAATACAATTTTTTAAGCAAAAAATATCGCAATTTTCAATCTAAACATGTTGGCAAGCTTTCACTCGTGAGTTGTAAATTTTTATTTAAAAAGCGTATGTTTTTTTATGGAAAAAAACTATATTGCATCTGGTAACAAGTTGTAATATTTTTATGAAAAACTGGACAGAATTTAGTAACAAGTTATTTTTATGAAAAACTGGACAGAATTTAGTAACAAGTTGTAATATTTTTATAGAAAACTGTACAGAATTTAGTAACAAGTTGTTATATTTTTATGAATAACTGTATACAAAATCTGGTAACAAGTTGTAATTTATTTTATAAAAAACGGACAGAAACTAGTAACAAGTTGTAATATATTCATAAAAACTGTACAGCATTTTGTATCAAGTTGTAATATTTGCTATATTTGATCATTCAGTCTTGACCCGGCATATCAGTCTTGACCCGGCATTCAGTCTTGACCCGGCATTCAGTCTTGACCCGGCAAAACAGTCTTGACCTGGCATTCAGTCTTGACCCGGCATTCAGTCTTGACCCGGCATACCAGTCTTGACCCGGCATACCAGTCTTGACCCGGCAAAACAGCCTTGACCCGGCATTTCAGTATTGACCCGGCATTCAACCTGTTAGTAACCAGCTCTCTCCTCCCAGCCTAGTTTGGCCGCAAACCTGTGTTGGCCCCCAAATCAGCTGAAATGTTGGGAACAGCCACACTTAACACATAAATATGGGTTCAATACACAGGGTCCTGGCTCTATACCAGGAATTTGTGAAGGTCGGTGAATCTGTGGAGCTGAGGTTATGGTCTAGAGGAGGTAAAGAATTTTTTCCTTCTCCCAAACCCTCGGTACCCTCCCCCAGTCCCTTTCCAGGATGACGAGCAGGAGGAGAAAAAGGAGGAAGAGGGTGAGAAAGAGCAGAACAAAGTTAAAAGAAATTGAAATCGTCCCTACTTCCAAGAAGCACCTATGGTGAGGTCAATGCAGACTCTTACGAACGTTGTTGTGTCTCGGATGACTCCCAGATCCATGGTGATGTCCCAGATAACCCCCAGTTCCGTGGTGATGTCCCAGTTGACTCCCAGTTCCGTGGTGATGTCCCAGGTGACTCCCAGTTCCATGTTGATGTCCCAGACGACTCCCAGTTCCGTGGTGATGTCACAGTTGACTCCCAGTTCCATAGTGATGTCCCGGATGACTCCCAGTTCTGTGGTGATGTCCCAGATAACTGCCAGTTCCGTGGTGATGTCCCAGTTGACTCCCAGTTCCGTGGTGATGTCCCAGATGACTCCCAGTTCCGTTGTGATGTCCCAATCGACTCCCAGTTCCGTGGTGATGTCCCAGACGACTCACAGTTCCGTGGTGATGTCTCAGTTGACTCCCAGTTCTGTGGAGATGTCCCAGATGACTCCCAGTTCCGTAGTGATGTCCCATTTGACGCCCACTCCTATGATTCAAGATACTCCCACTTACGTTGTAAGATCCCAAGAGAGTACTACCATTACCATTGTGAGAACCCAGGAGACTCCCATTTTCGTTGTGAGGTCACAAGAGACTCCAACTTAACTGGTGAAGTCCCAGAAAACTCCCCAGTCTATACTAATGTCCCAGAAAAAGTCTTTATCCAGTTCTAGGAGGACTCGTCAGTCATCTGTGCAAAGGGAAAGGGAGCAGAGAAACGCACAACATAAAAAATTGAAGAATTAAACACATTTTCGACAGCCGAGTGCAAAAAAATTTTAACACTCAAATGAAATTATTTCGCATCATAATAGATATATACAATTAATTTTAATAATGTATGTTTAAATAGTAAGCTATTGTAATGATAAATTTAATGAAATCTAACTATAAATTAGAATGTATGTGAACGATAACGCTTTACTAAAATAAATATTTAGATATTAAAAAAGTAATATTTGTTATAAAAAATGTACAGAATCTGGTAACAAGTTGTAATATTTGTTATAAAAAATGTACAGAACCTGGTAACAAGTTGTAATATTTGTTATAAAAAATGTACAGAATATGGTAACAAGTTGTAATATTTGTTATAAAAAATGTACAGAATCTGGTAACAAGTTGTAATATTTGTTATAAGAATGTACAGAATCTGGTAAGTTTTAATATTTTGAATGAAAAACTGGAGAGAGTCTGTTAACAAGTTGTAATATCTTCTGTCATTATTGTTCTTAGTCTTGGAAGGAATACTTTAGGAATTTTTATTTTCAGTAGTTGCATTCAGTATTTCTTAGTTTAGGGTAAAATGTTTGAAAAAAAACATAATGGTTGTTTATTGTTTTCAAATCATGTTTAGAGTTTATTAACAAACAGAATTTTTTTTTTAAATTTAGACATGTATTTAGAATCCGAAAGCTTACATAATTTTTATGTGTAATCACAAATGAAAAAATGTTACAATTTTTACATATGTTAGCTAGGACTTTACATGTTTGCGAATAATAAAAAAAAAATTTTAATTCAATTTAGAAAATACATGAAAATATAGGAACATTTCTGAAATGTGATTTAAAAACTTTGGTTCATAAGAATTTTCTTTTTAAATTAAAAGGTATTTAACTCAATGGAGTTTTTTACTCATGTTTGTAATCTTTGAGATGTTACAAAAATATTTAACATAAATTGTACTTATCACATATAGTACATGGATACTCAGAAATAGAATTTGAAATCTGAGTTAAATTGTACTTAGTACATATAGTACATGGATACTCAAAAATAGAATTTGAAATCTGAGCTAAATTGAACTTAGTACATATAGCACATGGATACTCAGAAATAGAATTTGAAATCTGAGTTAAATTGAACTTAGTACATATAGTACATGGATACTCAGAAATAAAATTTGAAATCTGAGTTAAATTGAACTTAGTACATATAGTACATGGATACTCAGAAATAAAATTTGAAATCTGAGTTAAATTGTACTTAGTACATATAGTACATGGATACTCAGAAATAGAATTTGAAATCTGAGTTAAATTGTACTTAGTACATATAGTACATGGATACTCAGAAATAGAATTTGAAATCTGAGCTAAATTGAAAAGTTGGGGTATTTATTTTTGCATGGAATTATCAAATCATAATTTTCTATCAATAAAATTACAACCATTGTAAGAATGTTACACAGTGTGTAAATACCCATTTTTTTCTTGTTTTGATTTCTATTGAGCTGAGTCTTATTGTTAGAGACCTACAGAAAAAACATTGATAACATAACAATTACTAATCATATTTGTGTTTACAAATTAAGAATCAATAATAACATAATTTAGGGGGATTTCAACAGATGTAAGAATCACAAGTATGACCCAGGTTGATCGTAGGTAACAACATTTTTACAATGTTCATATTTAAACCCATAAAAGAGTGTTGGAGTGAGTGCAATAGTGTTTTTCCTTTAAAATCATCATTTTTAAAAATTTCCTATGCAATAGAAATATGGAATGTTTTATTTTGTCTAAAGTTAGCCCTTGAAAAAGGTGTAATCAGGTGTCAGTGTGACATGTTGTTATTTGTTAAAAAATATTTGTCTGATTTTTTTATAAATAAGAGGGCCGTGATTACAATTTAAAACAATAAATTATGTGCCTTCTGGAGAATAATATTAATATTTGATGGCGCTCTAAAAGCAACCCCTCCTTTCAATTATATGGGCAGTATAATTTGTTTCTTTGTAGTGGCGTTAACATACACAGATTGAATAGATCTAATGCTGTCACCTCATTCCACTTTCTACCTCACAATACCAGGGCTACGCAACATCTGGCAGCTACATCTCATATTGAGCTGACAACCTTTAACAGTTCAAGAAGTGAAAGAAGCTCAAGAAGTGAAAGGAGCTTTAGAAGTGGAAACTGTGGGAGTGTTGAGGCTGAAACTGCTTTATGAATATCTAAAGCCTAAAGACAAAACTAGCAGGGTATACATTTTCTTAAAAAAGACCCATCCTTCTCTTTATCAACATTTGTTGAAGTTTTATATTTGCTTGATTTATTCACTTCAGTTTCCAAAAATAAATTGATTTATTCACTTCAGTTTCCAAAAATAAATTGATTTATTCACTTCAGTTTCCAGAAATAAATTGATTTATTCACTTCAGTTTCCAAAATAAATTGATTTATTCACTTCAGTTCCAAAAATAAATTGATTTATTCACTTCAGAAAGAATATATATAGACAATAAGTCATCTAAAAAGAAGCTAACTAAAAGCTCATGAATCATGTATCACTTACTTTTTTTTTCTTATTTGTCCCGTGTCAATGCTAATTTTTTTATGATTCAAATTTAGGAAGACTGAAAATTTGTCGAAATATTAAGTTTTATTAATTATTTTTTAATACATACATATGTATGTTGTAGTTAAAAAACTTTAATGTGTACAGTCAAAATGACAATCTAACTGTGGGTTAGGAAAACTATTTAGATGAAATATTGTTTTATATTAGTTTTATTAGTATCTTCTGAAGACCTTCTTTATATACTTAACATGTTACTTTTATTGTTATGTTTATTTGGACTTACTGTATTCTATTTATATTGTGATTTGTAGTAAAGATATTGTACCTGATGTAAACATTTGTGATTGGCGTTAACGTTAAATTTATAATTATATTAAACAAATATATTCATACTGTTGAATTTTGTTAATCAAAAACATATTTATTAATTATGTCTATTAAATAAAAGGTTATTAAAGTAGTTCATTGGAAACCCCAGGTTTTTTTGTTGGAGATTTCCATGTAATCATTGGGGATCTCAATATTTCCAATGGAGACCCCCTTTATTTTGATGGAGACCCCAGATTTTCGTTAGAAACCCCCATATTTTCATTTTATACTCCAGAATTTCATTGGAGACCCACAGCATTTCATTGGAGATCCCCAGATTTTCATTGGCAACACACATTATTTCATTGAAAACCGCAGATGAGACCCCCATGTAATTAATTGGAAACCCTTATATCAGAGATAATATAGTAAAATCGTGTTTTGAAATTAGGCATTTGATCTATTCCCATTTTACTATTTAGAATATGTACATTTCAAATTGCTACACACAAGCACATATGTATGCCTGGATCCTAAGTATAGCTTCAGTAAGGCCTAAATGAACCATTGACGCTGATGTAAACTTACTTTGATTTCTTTCTTAATAGATGACATTCGTGTAAGTAATTATATAAAATCATTATAAAAATTGTTCTTATCAATGTTATATTGTTGCTATATAATACTTCAATCTATTTCAATTAAACATCCAAACTCTCTTCTACCAAGTAACACCAAATGAATAAAGAATTTAAGAACACACAGTTTATATAGTGAGAGTAGTTTGAAACCGATCATTCTATAGAAATCAGTACAAATAGATCAATTGAAACCTATGATATATGCAATATTTTTCACAGCAGTTTCTATTGTGTACAAGTACTATTCACGACCAATCAGCAGACATCTGTATTCAGGGATATTTAAGGTTAAAAAACAAAATTTTCAAAAATACGCTAAATTCATAAATGTTATGTTTCATGTTAAAAATTGGAGTATTTCTTTAAAAGTTGTAAATCTTAACCCCTAATGGGTATTATATGCAACAATTGGCTGTTATAATATGGCAGTCAAAAAGCTTTCATGAAACTGTAGCATGGCGTGCCAGGATATTTTAACCTGCTTAGCTTATCCAGAAGGAGCATATGCACAGTCTGGTTAGTCTGTTCCTCATAACTTTATTGGAGACTCCATATTTTAATTGTAGACCCCATATTTTCATTAGAGACCCCCATATCTTTAAGGAGACCCCAGAATTTCATCAGAAACCCCATATTGTCATCGTAAACCCCATATCATTTCATTGGAGACCCCCAAATTTTAATTGGAGAACCCTTTTTTTATTGAAAATATGAGGTTTCCAATGAAAATGTGGGGGCCTCCAACAAAATTATGACGGTCTCCAACAAAAAACTGGGGTCTCCTTGGAAAATCGTCTATAAGACAGACTTCGCTTATGGTAAATGGGCAATTTCTGTATGGCAGAAAATGCTCACCTTGGGAAAAGGGCGGTTTCTTAAAAGCAAAAACCGCCCATTTCCCAAAATGATCGTTTTAATGAGGTAGAAACCACCCATTTTCTGTAATGGTCAGTTTCCATAAGGCAGAAACCTCCCATTACCTCGAAATGGTCGGTTTTAAGGGCAAGAAAGTGTCAGGGTTTCCCTACTGATTTACAATGCACAATCATGTTCATTAGTTCTCGAGTCAAAAAGTCATCTTCCTATTCAAGACTTCTGAGATGGAATTTAAAGTATTTGAGCCGCGGTTTAAATCCGCCAAAACCTGGTTTAAATTCAGCCCCGGGGCTTAAATCTTGAAACATTTGATACAACTTTAAGCGGAACCAACCATATTTAAACCGCAACTTAAATTTAAACCGTCGCTCAAATTCTTTAAATTCGGCCACTGATTTAATAAATAGCTAGAAGTAAATTCGGCCACTGATTCTCATTGTATACATTCTCTGCAAGTGTTCACAAAAAAAACTATCCAATTGAAAATGAGTTTATGCAACCTTTTTCACTCCATTAGAGCAAATGTTCATTGTGCTACAAATTGTGTATTATTAATTTTTCGCATACCCAGCAACGATTGTTTCAGTTCCTTGTCCCGGGAAGCCTTGTCTTTCTACACCATGCTTGACCTATTAAACATAAACTTTTTGATGGTCGTTCTATAGGATGGTTCTTTTTTATAGGATGGTTCATTCTATAGGATGGTTCGCTCTATAGGATGATTCTTTTTTATAGGATGGTTTGTTCTATAGGATGGTTTTTTCTATAGGGGGATTTGTTCTATAGGATGGTTCGTTCTACGTTCTATAGGATGGTTTGTTCTATAGGATGGTTCTTTTTATAGGATGGTTCGTTCTATACACTCTAAGAAATTTCAAATTTTCATCTAACAAAATTTGTTAGAGCACCGGACTCAAATACACCTTAGCAGAATCATTCGTAAAATGTTGTTGATTCTATTTTCAGTCGCCTTAACCGTCTATGTACGAAGTGGTCAATAAAGACAGAGGAATGAGAAGGTATGAATGGGAAGGGAGGGATGGGATGGGATGGGAAGGGAGGGATGGGAAGGGAGGGATGGGA